ATATTTATATATGACAGTGCATATTATTTTTCCATTAAAGTACCAATGGCTTCCTTTTCCAGAGCAATAATGAAATTTCACAGTATGAAAATGGAAGAAATCAATAAAATTATTCGTGATCTTTGGCGAAGTACCTATCGTGGACAAGGTAATTAACAGTGCATCATTAAAAGCTCTTTCTAAAGCCCTGCTCATAGCTCTTCCACATATATGACAGTGCATATTATTTTTCCATTAAAGTACCAATGGCTTCCTTTTCCAGAGCAATAATGAAATTTCACAGTATGAAAATGGAAGAAATCAATAAAATTATTCGTGATCTTTGGCGAAGTACCTATCGTGGACAAGGTAATTAACAGTGCATCATTAAAAGCTCTTTCTAAAGCCCTGCTCATAGCTCTTCCACATATGATCTCTCTTCATACAGACAATGCATGGACCCCTTTTTGAGCAGCTCTTTGAGATTCTGTCTTGTAGAAAAAGAAAATACAAAGTTTTCTGTTCTCAGTCTTGACTGGACTTCTCTAGACATTGTAGTTTCTGTTGATAGCAATAAGCCAGTGAATAAAAAGAAAGCAAGCCTGGGCCAGGGATTTAGCTCAGAGGTTCTGCCGCCTGTCTCGCAAGTGCAAGGTCCCGAGTTCAATCCCTGGTACCAAAAAGACAGAAAAGCAAGCCAGGCCGAGGAAACTACCAGACAGGCCGGAGCTGGGAGCCGGGGGACATTGGGTTCCTTCTGGGCAGACTGCAGCCTCCTGAACTCCCCAGCACTCCTGCTCCACACTGCTCCTGGGCTTAGGTGGAGTCTATATGTGACAAGGCTACAGAGAGCTGGTTTCTCTAAAATACTCTTTCTGTGTCAGATATTGAGTACATAGAAATCCGCTCTGATGCTGATGAGAACGTGTCAGCCTCTGATAGAAGGCGGAATTATAATTACCGAGTGGTGATGCTGAAAGGAGATACGGCTTTGGACATGCGAGGACGATGCAGTGCTGGACAAAAGGCAAGTACCACACAGGGCAGACGCGCCACAGGAGTCCCAGGGCCACCCTTGGGGCGGGATGCTCCTGGTAACACTCCTGATAGTGTAGCCAGCACAGTGTGCCCTGCCCTCCTACTGCCGACACTCGCTGCGTCTTTGAGCAAATGATCTGGAGTTACCTGTTGGACAAGCTAGTGTAGAGCAAGGGGCTGAAGGTCATGTATTATTTCACAGACACCTTTGTCAGAGTAAAGCCACTGCTGCCTCAGTTACAAGGCACACCACACAGGTAAAAACATAGTTACAGCCAAACTATGGCACAAACCTATAATCCCAGCACTTGGGTAGCTGAGACAGGAAGATTGCTACAAGTTCAAGCCCAGCCTGCGCTACATAGTGAGACCCTGCCTTAAAAAAAAAACAACAAAAAAAAAGACCAGGCATGGCAGTGCATGCCTGTAATCCCAGCACTCAGGAGGCTGAGGCAGGAGGATTGCTGGGCATTCAAGGCAAGCCTAAACTCTACATAGTGAGACCCTGTCTCAAAAACAGAAACACCAACAACAAACCAAAAGAAAGTTATAACCATAATAAGCATTCTGTTTTCAGAGAAGTCACAATGGGAGGGTAGTTTTCTATTAATCATAAGAATTACTGTTCTATCAATTATAAGAATTATTAGCAAACTAGATCCTAGACTGAGCCAGATGAAGCACTGCAGAATGAGAGTCATTGAGAAAGTATCCCCCACAAAGAACTGAATCCACGCCACCACCCTCGCTCTGTGCCTGCAGACATCTAAGATGGGGTCTGCCGTCAGTGGCCTTGGTCCTCACAGAGCTTCCACCCCTGCACCACACAGAGGATATGGCTGCTGGGTTAGGCCAGTTGGCTCCGAGGAAGGCTCTGAGAGGACAACCTCGAAAGGCCGGAGAGCATGGAGCAGAGTCAGAAAGAGGACAGGAGTTGGGAAGGTAGGACCCGCATCCTGAGGACCAAGGCTAAGACCTTTGTTATGCATAGGTTCCATAGTAAAGCAAATCTGAGCACAGATTGTACAGGTTTGTGAGCCTTCTTTCAGACTAGATTACACTAGCTATAGACCCTAATTTTCATAAAATTTCAAAATCTAGAAAAGGAGCTTCACATTCTGAGTTATTTCTATAGTTTGCAACCTTTGGCAAAAGAGCACACCACACATAGGTCAGCCCAGACAGCTGATACCAATTTAAGGCATCTGCAGATTACTATCTAAATCATAGAATGCAAAGATGACAAATTTGTGATCTATAATCAGTATCGCTACTTGCTTTGGTGAGACTTTTCATGTTAATTATAAAAGAGTATGAAACATGGTCTCCAGATTTAATATAAAGTACATTTCCTATAGCTACTCTAAGTTGCTGGAATTAATTAGTTTGGCATTGGGAGAAAGGACAGACACATGGTTTGGAGAATTGAGCCTCTACCTTCCTAAGCCTGGCTTTCACTGTGGCCTAGGCAGCCTAGGCAGGCAGGAAGTGTCTTTCTCCCAAAGGGGCTTCTGTAGTCTGCTGGTCTGCCCTGGGCCTCAAACAGAGGTGTGTACTATACTCTTAAAAATCCTCAACTCCTAAAATCAGTGGGAAAGGGAGTTTATAATTCACACAAAGTAGTTCATGCTTCTTAGCATAGATTTACACTCTGAATCCTGTGTCCCTTGTACTCTGATGGCTTCATTTAGCTGTGTCTAAGGATTGTGGTATTAAGATTCTCTTCACTGTGCCAGTGCCTGGTGGTTCCAGTGACTTGGACTTCCTGCATGTAAGCATAAATAAAACTGCACTTCTATACACATCCTGATACTGTGACCCATAGTTATTTTTTACTCTGTCAAAACTGTACACATTTCAGGATGGACAGCAACACCTGGTACATTTTCTGTACTGTAGAATATGGAGTTTTTAAAGACAACACTATCAACGAAAGTCTTTGTGAGCCTTGGAGAGATGCAGTGTGTCTAAATATTCTAACATGTCTCATTATCAGAAAATTGTTAAGACTTAGGTCAAGAATTTTTTTAAGGTTAATTTTACCCCTTTATTAAAATTATTACTTACAACTAAATGGTAATGCAGCTGTTCCATGCCTGTAATTTCGAGTTTTGATACAGTTGCTATGTTTCTATGAGTGTACGCTTAGCATTTCATTTCATAGCAAGTGATGCGCTGAGAATGCAGCTGGCTTCCTTCCAAGGGGGTAGAAAAGCTGATCACGGTGCTGAGCTCTGCCACACACCAGCAATCCCCCTGCCATCAGTGGCCCTGACACCACCCCACCTTCCCCTTCTGATGATGCCATGGCAGGTCTGTGCTGTGTAACTCACTCCTGGCTTCCTTTAGGTGTTGGCCTCCCTCATCATCCGCCTCGCACTGGCTGAAACATTCTGCCTGAACTGTGGCATCCTTGCCTTGGATGAGCCAACGACCAATCTTGACCGAGAAAACATTGAATCTCTTGCACATGCTCTGGTTGAGTAAGTGTGTCATATTTTGGGCATTCGTGAACTTTGTGTAAGGAAGATCAAGAGAGTTCTGTGATGTCACCATCCTTAGATGTTCCTTGTTGGGGAAACCAGGCTCTGCACTTTACTTTAGGTAGTAATTCTTCAGGTTTTCTTGAAAAGGAACTAGAGAGCAAACTGTGGCCCCAAACACATCCTGCTCCCTAGTGTGTTGATAGGGAAAGTCTCAGTGAGGGCTCCAGGCTGTGTTTGGTTTTCCTGTGAACCCCACAGGAGTCAGCAGGACCCACCGACACATATGTAGGTGGTGGCAGCGGGTTCAGGACGGTCTGCCCAGCTTTTCACATGTTAAGACAATTAAGAGGAACGGCAGAGCTCTTAATCCGAAAGCATATCAGTGATTCAGCAGAATGCAGAGAGGGTAAACTGTACATACTTCTTACCGTGCTCATCTATCTGTGTGAGGATGGGCTCCAAGGTTGGGCAGCTCTAGCTTACGCACTGTGCTGGCAGAGGAAAGGCTCTCGCCCTGAGGTAGGAGGGTTGTTTCTGGCACCTCTGTTCCAGACAGACTTGCTGGCAGAGGACGTGTTTCCTGTCTGCTGGCCGTGGTTAGAACAGGAGAACTGAGCAGCACAGGCCAGCTGTCTCTAGCCACCCCTCGTAGTGCTGGGGACCAGCAAGGAGGGGGCTCCTAGTGCTCTGTAACCGCAAGTGCATCCAGCTCTAGGCAAGGGATAAACAAGTGGTTGCTTAAAAGTCTTTTAGGTCTCGCTCTTACAGCTGGTTACCTCAGCCTACCAATAATGAGTAAAAATGTCCCCACTACACCCACTCAGGTCTCCTGTGTGTCACAGCAGTGATGCATCTGGTGACTAGTGGTGGCAGAGTTCTAAGTAGACCCACCTCCTAAGAAGGTAGTGTTATTCCCCTGTCTCCTGTCATTATTTCTAAATTTTTCTTCCAGAGAAAACTAGCAATCATATATGAAAAAAATCTAGGCAAAGAAGACTCCAAAAGTTAAGAATCTTAGGTATCCCTAAAACACTTGAACACACTGATCTGGGGAAACTGGTCCAAATTCTTGATGTGGTTCTTACAGTCCCTAGGCTAGAGATAGTAAGCAGTACATTCCCACTGCCCAGACAGGAGATGGGACACTATGGCCAAGCTGGAGGCCTGGGCCACCCCAGACCTCCTCACTTCCTCCACAGCAGCCACAGGCCTGTCGTACACAGCACAGGAAGAGCTTGGTTGTCACAACACATCTGACAAGCTTTTTGGTATGTTCCAAAATGTACTCTGTAGTAATGAAGTGTTCTAAATAATGTTTCAGGATAATAAAAAGTCGCTCACAGCAGCGTAACTTCCAGCTTCTGATAATCACTCACGATGAAGATTTTGTGGAACTCCTGGGACGTTCTGAATATGTGGAAAAATTCTACAGGATTAAGAAGAATATTGATCAGTGTTCAGAGATTGTGAGGTGCAGTGTAACCTCCCTGGGATCTTACGTTCATTAGCTTTGTGCTCCTAGTATCAGCTGAGCCTATTGGTAATACATTGTTTAAAAGGAGCCTTCTGTCGGGATGTTGTAGAGGTCCTGAGGTGATGGAAATTGTTTCACCTGAGATTTGACCTGATTCTCCATATCTTGTCCCCTGTGAGCAGCCTGCGGGACTCGGGAGCAGCACAGCTGGACCCGGCCTATTTCCAAGTCTGGGAATGTGTGGCTCTTCAGCAGACGGTACGCACTTCTGACATTTTGAAACTCCTGCTAAATAGTATATCTGAATGTATTTCCTTGCATGCGTTTAAAGAAGACCTGAGCTATCAGTATTCATGTCTGGCCCTGCTTTAACCTTATAAATCATGCAAGTGACCTCCCTGTCTTGGCTTTCTTTAAGCTGAATGGGGGGGGGTCTCAAGGTTTGATAGGAATTTTCAATAATTATCTAATTGAACACTCACCATCTTTCCTCCCCACACATCCCTGCCAGTCATCCTGACTCAGGGCTCAGAGTGGGGAAAGAGGAAATTTCTCACTTCAGGCCTTGTCAGTCTGCTCTGTCACCTGTGAATTGGCTCAACTTCACCCTCAATCGCAGCTACTCTACCAGGGCAGATGCCGGTATGGGAACTGAGCCAGGCTCACCCACAGGCGTGCCCTCCTCCCAGTGCTCCAGTCACCAGTTCAGATGAAGCCCAGTCACACTTGGCCCTGAAATTGTTGGCTAGCCTTTTGCACACATGGCTGTACAAGGTACAATCAAGTCATACACTTTTGAATTCACTGTGTGGAGTTTTGTCTCTCAAAGTGAGTCACCCTTCAACAGCCTCTCCCAACTAGAATGCAGAGGAGGATCGTGCCGCAAAGTCCTAGATATGTGTGCGGGGCTCAGTAGTGGCCTGCACTGTTATGGATGGAAGTCCTCATTTCTGGAACCTGTCGGTGTTACTTTATGTAGCAAAGGGGACTCTGCAGATGTGATAAAGCTGTGGATCTTGAGATACAAAGGTTACCCTAGTGGGTCCTAAAGGTGATCATGAGTATCCCCAATAACAGTGGTGGATGTTGGGCTAAGGAGGTGGCCTCGTGTTGGTGGATGCAGACTGGAGTGAGGTCACATTGACGATAGAGGAAGGGGCTACAAAGCCAAGGGATTTGGGCAATTAAAAGTAAAAAAGCTAAAGCAGCAGATTTCCCCTCAGAGACTTCAGGAGGGGCCAACCCTGCTGACACCTAGATTTGAGCTCACATGTTAAACTGCTGCATTTACGGTAATTTATTCCAGCAGCACTAAGAAACACAGTAGCATCTAAAATAATACTAGTTATGCACTGTCCTTGAAGGAACTGAGAGAGGATTGCTGATTTAACTCATGCTGTATTCAGCAGTTCACATGAAAAAGCCTGGTTAAAAATGGGGCTCCGGGCCCTCATCCAAGCCCATTTGGGGAGGGGCAAGTGCAGGACCACCACTCAAGCTACTTGGTCCTATCCGCTCTCATGACAAAGTCCAGTCATCCTACTTAGCTTTGACAACCTAAAATTACACTTCACTGGACTCGCATAATCTTGACTACAATGACACTATGAGGAACAGAGCAGACCATTCGCAATGAGGGCATAGGTCCAGGAACTCAATTCATTAAGAGCTAATCAGTGCCAGTCTCATACTAAAGCAGACACAACAGTGAAGGTGTGTTTATCCCAAGAATGCAAGAATGTTTCAGAAAATGATAAATCTGTTCATAAATCATCACCAGTAAAATGAAGCTGGGGGGGTAAATTTGGATACCTAGACAGTATTTCCTAAATATTAGTTGTCATCAACTCAGTAGCCAATATTTTACATTAAATATTAAAACCAGGTACTTTCTATTAATGTTTCTGAAAGCTGTAGTCAGTGCAGTAAAGAATGACAAGGCCAGTACCAAATAAATACAGATGGTATACCAAAATTATGATTTATAAATGGAAAGGCTTCCCAGTTACAGATCTCTCCCACCCCACCTACCATACACACAGGATGCTGCTTGCTGCACACCCCTTTTGAGAGAGGCAGCTTTCACCTCCAGAGCCTTTACATTTTGGGGTTTGGAAGTAGGATAGTACTCTTCTTGTTTCTAGACTGGTCTCCATTAATACCTCCTCTGCACACCTGAAATGAGCCAGCATAGAGCATGGAAATTAAGAAGGAACCAGGCTGACTGTGGTACCTCGGTTCAGGAATGCTATTATTTGCAAACAATTTGGTTCACAGAGCATTTGGCAAAATTTTTTGTTTGCAAACTCTGCATCAGATGATAAACACAACCATGGCCGTCTTTCCCACATAAATGTGGCCATCTTTTCTAAAATCAGAACAAATTTAAGGTCGTGAGCTGAAGTACTGCAGTTTCTTTTTTCTTTTTTTTATTTTTTTTTTTTAACTACTGCAGTTTCTTTCACTTGTGTCTCTGTTTCTGTAACACAGGTAAAATGAACTTGTCCTACAGTATTGTTCCAAAGATTACATAGCTTTTACAAAGTGCTTACAACTACTTAGCATATAGTAAACAGGTGTTTGTTCAAGAAGAGCCTCTTCAATTTACGATTTCTTGTCCCAGTATTTTTAGTCCCCACCTTGGTCATTCCATGTAAACTGAAGATTTCAGCTGCCCATTCCCTGCCAACTACAAAGTAATTTCATACTCACTGGTGATTTCAGCATCTGTGTGATGATCTCACACCACTCCCTACCCGCAGCTCCTTGAACTCAGTGAGAAGACACTGCCAGCTATGGTCTTGCTGTGGGGCCCTGTCCTTTGAATTACAGGCACTGTGACTCGAGCTCAGTGCTGAACGTCTCCCTTTCCCAGTAATCCCTTAGCCTCTTGACACTTCACTCCCAGAAATCCTCTGACCCCTCCAAGATGTCAGACCATTGATTCTGTCTTTCCCTCATGCCTTTACTTTTGCTACAGCTTCAATTTTGTTGCCATCCTATATTAGTGACACCTTCATGGTGTCATCCTTCCATCCTCTCTGCTGGCTCCTCCCAGACGTGGAGGCCACTGCTCCTTTCTCTGTAGGCCACTTCCTCTGCTGTGTCCTCATTTTCCTGACCTCTTGATGTCGCTACACTTCAATGCTCGGATTAAGTCTGCCCTTCTTTTCTCTCTGCCTTTTATCTCATGACCGCATCGACTTGCAGCTTTCCAGTTACTCCCTTAGTTTGGGTTCTCTCAGGAAAGAACCTGGAGCAGTGCTTCAAGTGACAACAGTTAGTGGGAGACCAACTGGTACGCCAGCTTCCACGGTGGACAGTCGCAGCTTAATCTCAGAACGACTGGGAAATTAGGTGAAATACACACTTCAGCATTATCTTGCCTGTGGGGCAAGAGCTCGGGCTGTTCATGTGCCAACCTCTAGTTACTGAGGGACATTCCAGCCTGGCTGGCTCTGTGCCAGCAGAGCTGCCTCCCACAGTTTAAAAACAAAAGCCAAACAGGTACAGATCATGGCGGCAGCACGGGCAGTTCCTAGGCAAAGTGTGAGAGCTGCAGCAAGCCACCAGTACACTGTGACTCCGATGCCCGTCTTTGGGCCAGATCCCTAAGTCCCGACTTACTCAGCCTCCTGTGGGCAGCTGGACACCCATATGCTCTTGAGTGACACCCAAAACAGGACGACCTCAAACAGTCATCCCCACCAAGCATGTCCCACAGGTTTTCAATTAATGGCAACTCCAATCTAACAACTGCTTATGCAAAAAACATGGCAACTGGGGCCAGGAATTTAGCTCAGTGGTTCCTCCGCCTGCCCCGCAAGCGCAAGGTTCTGAGTTCGATCTTTTTTACAAAAAAAAAAAAAAAAACATGGCAACATCCTTGATTCTCGTGTTTACCCCACACCAATCCATCATTTAACACTATGGGTTCCATTTTCAAAATGCTTCCAGGATCTGACCATGACTTCAACAAGCTGCACTGCTGTAGTCCGAGCTACTACTATCTCTAATGTAAAATATCTTGAGTACCTGCCTAACTTCTCTCATTGACTTAGTCCTTCTCCCCACTGTTCTCAATGCAGCAGCCAGAGATCTTTTTAAAAGGTACATTAAGGGCCAGGGATGTAACTCGGTGGTGCTGCTGCCTGCCTCACAAGCACAAGGACCCAGTTCCATCCCCGGTACCAAAAAAATAAAAGTTACATCAAGCAAATGCAGTTTTTCTCACAGGGGTACAGGGAACAGCTCAGAAACTTTTAAAAGTGCTCCTTGATATACATGGAGTTACTACACATTATAAGCTGAAAATTGAGTTCAAAAACACTAGACTGAATTGAATAGAATGAATCTGCCAAATACCATAGCAACACGGTCCCTCAAGTACAGAGTCTCTTGTTCTCAAGATCACAGGGCTGGTGGGGTCACTGCTCTGCCCAGCATCATGGAGGAGTACAGCATAGCACTGGTCCAGCAAAGGTTCAAAATTCAAACTGTACAGTTTCTATTAAGTGTACGTTGCTTTCATACTGTCATAAAGTCAGTTCAAAATTAAACCATAGTCATAATGGATCTGTGAAATACAATAAAAATAGTGTTTTACAAATACTACACTGAAAAACATTGCCGTTCTCAAAATACTCTCCCTTTGAACACATCCCAACACTTGCCACTTACTGAGATAGCTCTGGAAGCACTCTTTCGGGAGAGTTTTTAGTTGCACTGCTGTGGCTACTTTGAGATCATGAAGTGATTTGAGGCATTTACCTTACATGGTTTTTTTGCTTTGGGGAGCAGTCAGAAGTTGCACAGTGCCAGATCAAGTGAATAATAAGGTAGATGAAGACACGTTTTTACGAGACTGCCTCTCCCCTGGATGCCATTTGGCAGCAGCATTTGTCATTTTTATCATGCCTCGTAAGGTATGAAGAGGACCGCTGGAACTGCTTTAGAAAGTGGCAAGCATGGTGGGCTGTGTGTCTGAAGTGAGGGGGAAGATTTTGAGAGCTGATGGCAGTGTATCTTTTTTAGAACAAAACATTCACTGTATTTTGATCACTGCTGTGTATACACTAAAATACATAAACATGATAACTACATTTTCTGAGTAGACCTATAACAAGGAAAGATATTAAATAGTAATTAAACAAAACACAGGGCCAGGATTTAGCTCTGTGGCGCCACACCTGCATCCCAAGCACAAGGTCCTGAGTTTGATCCCCAGTAAAAAACAAAATTCCAACAAAGCAAACCCCAGGCCCAGTGGTATGTATCAGACATTTAACAGAATAATATCAACACTTCTCAGACTCCTTCAAAAATAGAAAAGGAAGGAATACTACCCAAATTCTACAAGGTCAACATTACACTGATAACACCAGACATAATACCACAGGAAAGGAAACCAGAGAACAATTATGAAATTATATGTTAGCAAAATAATAGCAAACCAAGTCCACCAATACAAAAATGTACAGATCACAAAAGAAAACTTTGGTAACCTGGGCTGCATCAAAATTTAAAACTGCGTCAAAGGATACAATCAGTAGGACACTTGCAGAATGGAGAGAAATAATTTGCAGATTATAGTATATCTAATGAGTTAATATTCAAAGTATGTAAAGAACTCAACAGTGCAACAGTATTTTAAAAATTACTTGGGCAGTGGGTTTCAACAGGAATGCCAAAGAAGACACATGACCAAAAGCACACAGGATGGTCAGCATCAGTAATTATTAGAGAAGAGCAAATCATAACCACAGTGAAATGCACCTTGCACCCATTAGATTATCACCAAAAGAAGACGGGAAGTAGGGAGAAAAGAGAGAAAAGGAGCAGCGTTGGTGAGAGTGTGGAGACTGGAATCTTCATGTAACGTTAGCAGAGTGTAAAATGGTGCCACTGCTGTGTGGTTCCTCAAAAATGCAGACGTTTCTAATATAATTCCTTATAATAGAGTTACTACAGGATTCATCAATTACATTCTGGGTGTGTATCTGAAAATTTTAGAAACAACATAAAGACAGGTTTCAGTTCAAAAGAAGGAAAAGCAGTGTCTGGAAGATAAACAGGCACACCCTTACTGCCAGCCTTACCGTAGCCAAGAGGTAGAAGCAGCCCACATATCTATGGATAGATGAATAAAACGTAGCATTTGTGCAATAGGATCTTACCTTTAAATAAGGAAGGAAATTGTAACATGCTACAGTGTGTAGGAAGCATGAGGATATAAAGCTATAAAATAAGCCAGTCGGTAAAGGACAAATATTGTATGAACCTGTGTACAGGAAGAACCTAGAGTAGCCAAATTCATAGAGACTGAAGTGAAAAGGCGTTCACAAGGGGCCAAGGGTGAGAGTTTTAAATGGCATGGTTTCTGTTTTGCAAGATGAAGAGCTCTAGAGATCGGTTGCACAACATGAGTGTACTTGATCATGAACTGTACCCGTTAGTGATTTAAGATGGTAAATTTTATATGTATTTTACCATAATTAAGTGAAATACATAGACACTGAACTATAGCTATGTCCAAGTATGTAGGTTAGTGTGTGTACATGTATTGTTATGTCCACCAAGAGGGCTGAGATGGGAAGACACCTGGTAGTGATGAGCACATTTTTTGCCCTGATCTTGATTTTAAAATACCCTCTTTAAGGAAGCCTGCCTCCCTGGAGAAGCAGCCAATTCAAACAATATAGGACCTAACCTGAAATAACTCCTAATGACCAAGGGGGAACAGTTTTAGAAACAATATAAAGACAGTTGTCTTAGTTACTTTTCTCATTTCTGAGACAAAATATCTGACACCCAAAATTAAAGGAGGAAAGGTTTATTTCAGCTCACAGTTTGTAGAGGCTTTGGTTTATAGTTGGCTGGCTGCAAGGCAGGGTGGCAGAGGGGCATCACAGGAGAAACAGCTCATGGTGGGCAAGAAGCAGCAAAAGCAGCAAGTGATAAACAATAAACGACAGGCATTGACCCTTTTGCTGTCCCTTACATCCTCTCCAGGCTACCAACTCTAGGGCAGGTAGCATTCACAACTGGGGGGGCAGCCTTAATCTTAGCATCACACTATCAATCCCAGCAGCACACCTTAGATCCAGCCTAGATCCAAAAAGACCCACCTGTGACTGCTGAGGCCCGGTGGGGGGACCTAGATACAAGTCATGACAACAGTACTGGGTTATAACTCAGAGGGACACATATCTATGAACATGGGATATGAATGAGCACTTGACCAAGTAAAATGGACAAAGACAACCTTTATAGAACTGCAAGGAAACAGAGAAGAGAAAAAAATTACCATTCATCAAATACCACACAGAAACTTAAAATTCAGATCAGAGTTCCTGGTAGGAACTAACCCTGGGCACAAATTTGAGGAGAAGCAATTTTATATAGTCGCAAACATATCTCCAATATATTAACTAAAAAGGGAAACGCGACAACTTGGTAGTGGAGAAAGCTGGCAGAAATTGCCCTAAGCAAGTGGTCAAGGTCAACACGGGTAAGATGCTGACATCATGCCTCCCTGGACAGTGCCCTGAGAAGGGCACAACTACATTTCCGAAATACATTATTCAAGGTGTGTAACCTCAGTCCCGTCACCAGAATGCCAGATAGAGGCAAACCAGGGAAGGCTTGACAGCACAACCAGTTGATATTCCTGGGAAAGTTCCAGGGTTATGAGTGACAAGATGGAGGGACAGTTACAGCCTGCAGGAGGGCAAGGAGAATCAACGGCAACACAATGTGGATCTCGAAACCAAAAAAGGCCCTTGGTAACAGCAATGAGATGTGTAGTTCTTCAGTAATAAATAAATGTGAGGGCCCAGAAGAACTGCAAAGGCACCTAAGTGCTCAGTAAACATATTGGCAAATCAATGTTAATAATGTTAACTTTCTATTTTTTGGTCATGGCACTATGATTATATAAGGCATTAACTGGGAGAATGTGGGGAGGGGGAATATGGAAACTATTTTTGCAAGTTTTCTATAAATTTCGAATAAATTTTTGAGAAAGACAAATGATAATTGAGTGATTTCATTTCTCTGCTCATAACCTCCACTTCCCTGGTCATGGATGCCCCAAGGCCAGTGCAGCCAGCCTGATCCACAGCGCTCAGGGCCTTGTCCTGCTCACCCTGAAAGCGTGTGTGCCCACAAGTGCTGTGCTGGACTGCAGGGGCGAGGTGACACTATCAGGCCAAAGGGCCCTGCCCACACCGGCGGGCGCTTTCCCCGGTGAAAGGCCTTGAAGGAGAGAGTCTGTCCGATTCTGGGAGGATACACAGAGGTGCCATCCTGGGCACAAGCGTTTCTGAGCACCAGAGCTGCTGACACCCTGTCTTGGGACTCTCGGCTTGTGGAGTGGTGGGAGCTAAGTTTTGCTGTGGTACAAATGACGAGTCTCAGGTACTCCGTTGGGGCCACACAGACGGACCGAGACGCCGCTCACTCGTGCCTTTTTGCTTCACTTCCTCTCCCGTCATCAGCAGAGTCACTTCCTGTGGTCCTCAAGCCTCTCTCTTGAAACAGCACCTTCTCAGGGAGCCCTCAACTTCCAAACCCCACGAAGGAGTACACACTCGCCCTCCTCTTGTTCCTGCCCCGCTTCCTTTTTTTTGTACTGAGATTGACCCATGCGCACTAGGGAAGTGCTTTACCACTGAGCTAATCTCCAGCCTTTTTTTTTTTTTTTAACTTTTGACACAGGGCCTTGCTAAGTCGCCCAGATGGAACTCAAACTTGGGATCCTCCTGGCTCAGCCCAAGTGCCTGGGACTACAGGTGTGCGCCCCACAGCCAGCGTCCTCTTCCCCTCGACTGTACTTCTCACACCTGACCCACTACAGATTCACTCATTCTTCAGATAAATTACCCGTCTCCTCCCACTAAAATTTCTCCAAGAAGGCAAGGACTGTGTGTTATTGGCTAAACACATGATACAGAAATGAACTTGGAACTATGTGAGAATTCCTTGTAATTACAGCGGACCCTTGACTCAGGAACGCGACTGGATCCTGAGGGTTGGTTAGTACTCACGGTGGTTGTAAATCAATACAGCTGAGAGCTGGAGGTTTACCGGGGCACCTGCTATAGATAACAAGACCCAGATGAATCTTCCATTACCCTGAGTAACCCGAGTTTTTCGTAGGTCCGGCCCATTCAACTTGAGGGTCCACTGTATTTAAAATTCAGTGCATACCAGACTGAATATTTACAAAGGCAAAGTTCACCTTTATGTACTTATCCTATACCGTCCATCTACCAGAAGACAGCCACCAAAATGTTACGGATTATCTCTGAACGAAGGAAGTATGAGGTCTTTTTGTTACTTTGTATATCCACCTGTTACACAAAACCACCTTTGTTGAATCTTTTTAAAAATTCAGAATCCTGATATTAGAGAGCACTATTCCTATATTTTAGAGGGAAAAAAACCTATGTACCGCCTTGTTCCATTTTGTAACAAACCTAAGTGTGCAGAGCAAAGAGACTGGTAGCAGCTACTGGGCGCAGGGTTAACGTTCGCTTATTTCGTGTCTCTACGTGAAAAATATAAACTCCAAATAAAGACAACAGCGCGCACACCCTCCTGCCTGACGACCCGGTAAAGCGCAGGAGCCGGT